AGAGAGAGAGAGAGAGAGAGAGAGAGAGAGAGAGAGAGAGAGAGAGAGAGAGAGTCGGGTATAGATGTTTGATGATTGATCGATGAAGGGCTTGGTTACAGTTCCAAGGGGTGGCTTTACCATCAACGATGCCGTTGCCACGTGGGCACAGTACAGCCAAAAAATGGGATGAGTAGGACGAATGAAATCGTAGACCTTGTTGATTGTGGCGAACGCCCATGACGCAATCAGAATCAATGGATAGTAGCTCAACCGGTTCACGGCCTGGAAGCAGACAACCAAAATTTTAAAATTTTTAATTAATTAATTTATTTAATTTTTCCATCCATCCAAAGGAAGTTTATTGGATGCATACAACAGAGAAACATCAATCACCAACGGGCCTACCTAGCTCAGTTGGTACACGCATCAACTCTTGGAATTCAGACCCAAGTTTGAATCCAGATGCAATCAGATGAAGTTGATGAACAGAATAAAATATTTCTGAATTACCTGGGGCCTGTCAGTTCAACGATGATATCTCAAATCTCAAGACCGTCTCACCCTTAAAGAAAAAGGAAAGAAAGAAGGGGGAAAAAAAACCATACATAAGTCAAATCGACCAAATGCAGTGACGACAAGAATGGATTCAATTTTTTATTTTTATTTTTTTCCAAATTTCAAATAGTAAGCCTAAGTAAGGAACTAAAGTTTCTACTCCTTTGTTGTTTCCCTTTTTCTAAAACTTTCTTTTTTTTTTCCCCGAAAATTTTAAGCAATCCTTTTCCCTTCATATCACGAATGTACTACACCGAACATCAATAGGCTGCGCCTAAAATCTGAAGGAGCTTTTGGCTCCGGAAGGGTCAATTTCATGGTGGAGAGAAAAAACAACATGCGCCGGAAATTCATATTGTTTGCATAGCCTGCTCAAATCTCTACAATGAAAAAAAAAAAAAAAAAAAAAAAAAACCTTTATAATGGCAATAATATTATAATAATGGGGCATTCTTTCTCACATGTTTGCATAGCCCTTTGCTCTGTGTGAGAATCCACCACCTCCTCTCCCTACCCTCACAACCTCCCTCCACTGCACAGCCACCCCCCTACTTCAACAGTTCAACGGGAACTTCAACCCCATTATGGCGAATGATGGTGTGCTGGTATCCAGTTACTGGCACCATCGCTCCAGGGTGGAACTCTGGAACTCTGGTGGAACTTTGGAACTCTGGAACTCTGTTGGAACTTTGGAACTCTGGAACTCTGGTGGAACTTTGGAACTCTGGAACTCTGGAACTCTGGAACTCTGGGGCTCTGGAAATCTAGACGACTGTAAAGAAGGAAGCATGGTATGTTGGTCCTGATAGTACCGCCATCGGTCCGGGATGGAATGATGGTGTGCTGGTCCCGACAATGGCACCATCGTTCCAGGGATGGGACGCTGGGACTGTGCTGTTGTTCTGGAACGTTACCTCTGCCCTGACCTCGTTTCTGGCACAAAGCCGGGCGAAAGAGTCGGCCGGGCGGGCAGATCTGGGACCGACAAGCCACCACGGACGTTGAACTATCGGGACATCCGCTCCTGGAAACTCTCAAAAAGAAGGCTTCTGAAACGTTGCTGATGGTGGGTGCCATGCGTAGCGGACGCACCCAGTCAACTTCTCACAAGACGATTCGCTTCACTCACTTTGGTTTCGACAAACGTTCCGTGAAACAACACTCCAAACAAACGTTGTCGTCAAGTTTGAGCTCGCAGGGATCGACTTACCTTGGAGTTTATTCTGACCTCCATCTGTTGCTTCCTGTCTGACATGCTCTGAGCCATCTGAAAGAGGAAGGGGGGGGGGGGGAATASGGAAGGGGRGGRGGGGGGGACACAGAAACAAGCAAACCACAAACTAGAGTCAAAGAAAGCAATAATGACCAGGTTCCAAGATAAACAAACACAAGAAGAAGAAGAAGAAGAAGAAGAAGAAGAAGAAGAAGAAGAAGAAGAAAGACCATTTTTCGATTTCTCATCGTGCACATTTGGTGAGCAGTGGAGCGAGGCCCACAGTATCAATCATCAATCAATGCATGAGCTGAAGCATCCGTGTTCAGTGGTTACGCACCGTCGGCCACTACCTCACTGGCGACCTTACAATACGCGGATCAATACTACCGGTACCTGTTTACGGAGGAGCAACAGTGGACCCTGGGGGATATGGCAGAGAAGCCAAGTCAGGCGGTGTGGAGCACGGCCAGGGCTGTGGTTCCGCAGGCGCGGCGGCAGGAGCTGGACCAGCCCATCACACCCACCAAAGTTCGGGTGGCCATACTGGACCTCCCCGGGGAAAGTCACCAGGCCTGGACGGTATCCTGCTGGAGATGTTTAAGGAGCTGCCCCAGTTATTTGATCAGTATCTCATGGAGGCCTACAACGAAGCTCTGGCGGGGGGGTGGCTTCCCGGGGGGGTTCGAGGAGGCGTACGTCACCCTTATTTAAAAAATGGGGGACCGGGTGGACATTTGGAATTGGCAGCGCATTGCGGTCCTTAATGCGGATTATAAGATCTTATCTAAGATTCTTGAGGCGCGTTTATCTTCAATCACCCCCTCTGTGACCCACCACTCGCCAACTGGCTTCGTACCTGGGAGGCAGATCTCCACGTCCTTAATGCTAGCCAGACAGGTGCTGAATATGGCTAACACTGCAGGCCATAATGTTGCCCTCATCTCTATTGACTTTGAGAAAGTGTACGACAGGGTACGCTGGTCCTTCCTGATTCAAGCTTTGAGGGCACGAGGGATAGGCCATGAATTTGTGGGGTGGGTGGCGACTCTTTTACAGACGGCCACCGTGGCGGCCAGAATTAATGGTCATACATCACCACCTTTCAAGCCACGCGCTGTCCGCCAGGGATGCCCCATGTCCCCTGCCTTGTATACCGTATATGTGGAGGTCTTGCATGACATGATTTGTGCGGACCTCCACATTTCTGGGCTACAACTGCGGGACTGGGAGGTTAGATCGTCAGCGTTTGCCGACGACACAGGTGCGATTCTGCAGGCGACGGTGGACCAGCTGGCAGCCCTCAGAAGAATTACCGACACCTTTTCATTGTATGTCGGGACGCAAGTCAACTGGGCCAAGTCGTGCGTCATCCTGCCTGCAACGGTGGAGCTTGAGGACACGCATGGAGTTACAGTCTTGCCGGAAGGGGTGGGGATGAGGCATCTGGGGGTCATGATAGCAGCAGAAGGGGTCGCGGAAAACCAAGTGGATGACCTTATTGCCGCGATCATAGGGCGGGCCAAGCGGTGGATGGGCCGCACGCCGCCAGGCCTCTTCGGCAGGGCCATTCTTGTGAACAACTCTCTGCTGGCAATCATATGGAATGTGGTGGCTATGTACATGCCCACCAGGAGCCAGTGCAGGGCCCTAAGGGCAGCCATTACCTGCTTCTTGTGGTCAGGGGACCCTACTGCACCAAACACCATTAGGCGGGTGGCATGGGGGAAACTCGTACAGCCTAAGCAGGTGGGTGGCCTGGCAATAATCGATCCGCAGTATCAAGCGAAAGCCCTGCAGATGCGCTTGCTCGTGCGGCTCATCATGGAAGACGACAGCGCGGATTGGAAAGAGACGGCTCGGGAGCTCTTAGCATGTGCAATGCGGGTGGACCCCACTGTTGTATTTCATGCCTTACTGTATCCAGACCTGCTATGGAATCTTAGGCAAGGGGCTTTATGGACCCCCTTCCTAGCCTCTTGGAGGACCATACGTCTTCAGTTGGCGGACCCGCATATGGTGGACCAGATACTGACGCAGCCATTGTTCGGCAACCCCTTTATCGTTGCAGAGGATGGCCACTTGTGGCCTTGGAAGGGTGTGCCGGGGGCATTTGGCAGGCAATGGGTGAATAAGGGGGTGTTCCTAGTGCGCCACCTCTCGGACAGGCAGGTGAGAACCAGGCGGAATGATAGCGACATAATTGCGTCCCTACCACATCAGGTTGCAAGGTCACAGCGACTCCATGCTATACGATTCCGCCGGCCTGGCTGCAATGCCTGCAGGACGATGACAGGGGGGGGGGGGGAATGGTTAGTGCTGCAGGGACTGCCGGAGCTGGTGATGGTTTTCCGGATTTGAGTGGGAATCGACAAGATGGTTATCAGGCCCAGCGGTGGCTTGCAAAGGGTGGCAGGGAGGGCTTTGGCGAGCCCCTATCACCGGTGCCTGGGGGCCTCCGCCACCTGTCCCATCACGCTATCTACTCTGTGGCTGTCCTGCAGGACAGGGGTAGGGCCGTCCCTTCCCCGGTAGGCCATACCGCATTGCTACTCCGGCACAGGACCTCGACACTGATCCGCGGAACTGGAAGATCATGCCCTAGGGCAGCCTGACCCATAGGCAACCTTTGCATCAGGTCACAACCAAGGCCCTGTACTGAGCACAACTGCCGCCTTATGACGTGGGAGCCGAGATCAAGGCCAGGTGGGCTAAGCGGGGGCGGATACCAGTGTTGGACCTCGATTCCTGGACCCACGCGGAGTCGGGGGCCTACTGGATGATGCTATTCACGTTGCCGGATCAGAGGCAAGCAGGCTTGCTGTGGTTGTTGCCCCACCTGGCGGTACCTACACTCGAATGGCTGGTGGCCAGGAGCCAATATACGGATGCCAACTGTAAAATATGCCACGCACAGGACGAAACACTCCCTCACTTGCTCCTCCATTGCGCCTGTGTGTACGCCTTTTGGAAGCAGTGGCTGCATCTTGTCCGGCAGCATGACCTGCCTTGGCCTGACCAACATCAGCCATGGGTCCTGCCGGGCTCCCTTCTTGGTACGACGGCGCAGGATCTCCGGAAGGAACAGGTTAGGGCCCGAGAGATTCTCAGGGCTGCAGCGGTGTGGACGGTGTGGTGCTGCCACAATGAAGCCGTTAGGGAAGGCCAGCCGTCGACACCAGCCAAGTTCATGGCTCATTTTCAGGACAGCCTCAGGGTGGCGCTGCAGGCCGATTTTTATAAGGAACTAAAGAAGCTCCCTGCGGGTGCGGCAGTGGGGGACATGACGTTTGTTCGATTATGGAGCCCACACCCGGCATTGGTCCGTAGTGACACAGATGCTCGGCGCTCATCTTTCGACCCGATCCTTAAACCAGACCCTCCGGCACCACCGGCCTCGCTGGCGGAAGGGGGGGCAGCGGAAAGCTAGGAGGAAGGGAAGGGGAGGTGGCAGAGGACGGGCCACCATGGGGAGAAGATTGTGAGGGGGCTGTTAGTATAGGGAGGGCTTTGGGAGGGATATGAGGGTTACTAGGGATGGATCGTATGATGGACGAAGATTTGGGAGATGCTTGGCGATGATGCTTGGCGAGTGATGGGGGTATGAAGATACAAAGAGATTGTGGCGCACTCACAACGATGACTGACAGTACGTGGGAAGGGACTAGGGATGGACATGATATGAATGGGTGGCAAGGTGCCGGGGCCATGACTAATAAATGGTACAAAATGTTGCAATAGGCTAAGAAAGGGAATAGTCTATGACATTGATAATAATATGATAACATTGATAAGGATAAAAAGGTAGCATGGAATGCAGTATGGAGTACAGTATGGGATATATTACTGCCGATAGCAAGATGTGTATACATAGGAGAAAGTAGGTTAAGCTTAAAAATATATAGGCAGTACGTGGATGGGAGGGTGTGTAGGGGGACGGTGAGTATTGGGGAAGGGGGGTGTGGGTGGCAGGGAAGGCAATAGGCCAGGGGGGGAGTGGATCTAGTGGGCAATAACTGGGTACCAAGGGGAGTCTGCCGATTGCCTACTGCCTCCACCCGCTGTCCCGGTGCCTGCTTTCTATGCCCGTTTCTTTCTCACTTCTTGTTGTGACCTATAATGACTCTTGTTCATATGCTTGCCGGTGTCCGGTGCCTCCCAGAATAGAAGGGGCTGTGTGTGTGTGTGTTTTCAATGTGTTAAAAAAAAAATAATAATAAAAAATGGTGCATAGTACACTGCATACCATGATTTTATGTAATAATTGCTATGTTCTCCAAAAAAGGGAAACAAACGGAAAAAAAAAGTGCATACAACAATGAAACGCACAGAGAAGATAGTGTGCGATGGGAATGGCATCCCCGAGGATGGGCGAAGCCGCGAGGGAAATTTGGGACTGACAAGTCGGGCTCTGACAGTCGACTCCAAGATGGCCCTGACAAGTCATGTCCCATAAAAGACTTGATAAACGTGCTTCCCTTCATGATCATCATCATCATTATCATCATCATCATTATCATCATCATCATTATCATCATCATCATCAGCAGCAGCAGCAGCAGCGGCAGCAGAGTCCTGACCACATCGTCAAACTCCTGGACGATGAGCGGCACAGGATCTGTTCTGCAGGTTGTACACTCTTCTGTATCTACGAATACAGATGACTTGCCAAACCTGGACGATGAGTGGAGACTTTCATCTCAGAACGCGAATGCTCCGCAAGAGGGTGTTTCAGTTTTTTTTTCCCCTTTAAGAAAAAAGAAAAAAAGGAAGAAAGGAAGGAAGGGAGGGAATGAAAAGAAAAGTGACCTACCTTCATAGTATGTCCCAGAGTTCGGATGACTTGAAAATACCCTACACCGTTAAACAAAATGGCGCCCCACAAAGGCAAATAAAACGTGATGAACCTCAAAATCTGCAAGCAAGGCGACATAAATAAGGAGAGAGGAAAACAGACAAATGTCAACCAAAAAAATAGAAAACAAAAAAATTGAAAAAAAAGAAAAAAATTCCATCACATAGTTCAAAAGGCAAGAATGATTGGAAGGGCAAGCATCCGAGCTTTGTGTTTCTGTCCGTCCTCCATGCAAACAGGGGTGCTGGCTTCGGCATGCAAATAGGGGTTGCTGGCTTCGGCATGCAAATAGTGGTTGCTGGCTTGGGCAGGGAAATAGGGGTTGCTGGCTCCACAAAGCACATGCCGAAGTAGAAGGTATTTGGCATTGTCCCCTTTCCACCTGCTTTCTCTCCCCCACAAGATATCAGATTTTGTCTGACTCGAAAGGTACCCCAGCAGCCAGGGCTGTTCAATTTCCATCCATGTCATTCCCTCACTCAAATTTTCAGGGCCAACCTCACAATAAGAGAGAGAGAGAGAGAAAGGGGGGGGGAGGGGGGGGGACCCTTGTACGCATGGATTCCTCAAGCACTACATAATCCACGGACTTTGATGACGCCATTCGCTGTTTGCACACCCTACACCAGACCCGTTTTGCTATCATTGCTACCTGTACAGAGTCTACAGACCCACATACCTCAGAACAGTCTCTCTCTCTCTCTCTATCTCTCTCTCTCTCTCTCTCTCTCTCTCTCTCTCTCTCTCTCTCTCTCTCTCTCTCTCTCT